TCCTGGATGACTCAGGATTCAGTTTCTCCACAGGACAGGAGCAGACCGACTCTGTGTCTGCTCCAGTCCCAGGGACCAGGCAGGGGCCGAAGGGCCTGAGTATTTCTTTAATCCCCCAGGCCTATGCCCGAGCTCGGTACCGTGAGCAGCGCTGGCACTGTCACTTACTAATGACTGAACACAGAAATGCTGGTTTTATGCTGGGAAACAGTTTGTGACATATTCAGACTGCATGCTTTTCAAGTCCACTTGAGGACAGTCACAATAGAAACAGTGGGATTTATATACAGTTGGGTATGATCATTAAGAACATTAATTATACATATTGAATTTCAACACAAATATTATGTACATTCTGTGCTTCAAACACAGTGGACCCATCAGCAGATGGGAGACACCCTTAGGGTGGAATAGTCACTGGGAACAGCAGCACGTGTGTGATGCTGGCCTGAGCCTAGAATACAATCTGTGTCTGCTGCCAGTGGCAGAACTGGGGGATGGAGCTGACTAAGACATTGGGAGCCCAGAAATAGGGAGTCTAACCCTGACTTGGGGCACCGAATTATTTACAATGTTAGAGACTGATTTTTGCCTTGATTTGATTATTAGTTCTTTCCCCCTTGGAGGAAGAAATTATGTAACTGATTTTTTTGTATGCTGAAGAAGTATTTATGCTGAAGTATGCTGAAGAAGAGAATACTCTGACTTTTTAAAATGAAACTAGGTTTTGACATTTAGAGTGCTGAAATTTCTTAATACCGTTTCCTCATTTTCAATTGTGGAATTAATATTAACGTTACACCATAGAGATAAACAAAATGAGGAGAGCTATGGTTTAATACTGGGGTGTTTGTGTCATGACTCACATGGACAGGAAGCCAACTATGTTGGTATTTTGTCAACTTGATAAAACCTAGAGTCATCAAAGGGAACATCAATTGAGAAAATATTCCTAATCACATTGGCCTGTAAGCAAGCAAAAAGTCAAAGTCTTTGAACTGTATGCTCTTGGAAGGTACAAAAAAAAAAAATCAGTTACACAGTTTCTTCTTCCAAGAGGGAAGAAATAAGGCATAGGAATAATCAAATCAAGGCAAACATTTCTTGATTGAAAAACAATGAGGAAGTGTCTAGCCCACTGTGAGCAGTGCCATTCCCAAGCAGGCTGTCATGAGGTGTGTAAGAAAGAAACTGAGCAAGCCAAAGGGAGTAAGAGAGTAAGCAGCATTCCTCCATGGCCTCTGCCTTCAGTTCATGCCTATGCTTGAGTTGACACCCTGACTTCCCTTGATTATTTACTGCAAACTGTAAGATGAAGTTAATGTTATCCACCTCACGTTTCTTGGGCTTCTGGTCTTCATCATAGTAATACAAAACCAAACAGAGACACACAGTATGGTTCAACATTTGTATATGTGAACTATGATAACACATCACACATACTATCATCATATCCTAGTTGTTCTCAAGATGGAAATGTTTGCAATGTTTTATTGCTGATGCTTAACACACAAATTTTAGGAGAAACTTTCCTAAGATGAAATTAGTTTGAGGTTCAATAACAAATGCAACTTTTACTTCCTTGTAGAAATGTCCTAGAACAACAGCATTCTACAATATGGATTGGAGAACAAATTACCTTAGTTTTCTCCACAGTTTTTCATACTCATTTTCAACCTTCTGGTTACCCAACTTATTTCCTAAAATGTAGAACCAGAGAAATAGTTAGGAATTATTTATTACTGAAAACATATTAAATAACACTTACCTTCATGGTGTAAGAGATCTACCTGACATATTTACCCCAATTCCCTTTTCCATATTGCAACTCATACATCAACACTGATTATCTAGAAACACTTGTCCTTGATGGAATAGAGAAGCCAATGCCCATGTGTACCTAGAGAGGCCAGGTTCCTCAGGGTTTCCTGCATCACATCTTTGTACAGTGTCCTCTGGGATGGGTCCAGCACAGCCCACTCCTCCTGCGTGAACTTCACAGCTACATCCTCAAAGCTCACTGACTCCTAAAAGCACACACATACATTTCCAGGAAAGTCAGCCTCATGGAACCACAGAGGTATACAGAATTAATAAGAAGCTGACATGGCACTATGTCCCACAAGGGTTCAAGTTGTCCTGGTCATCACATTCTGCTGCTCATACAGAGCAAGATTCCCACAAACACAGATGCCAAAAGTAACTTGGAGCTTTCTGGGAAAGAAACATCAAAGTAGGATGAGCTCTCGTGCAGATGGCTGTGCAGTTCCCCTTTCTGCACTGCATTGTTCTAACAACTGTCATCCCAAGTTCTATTGTCTAACACCCACCAGGGTTCAGTATCAGCTGACCTTAGAATGTGTGTGCTTAGAAATGCTGGACACAACAGTTTTCCTGTATCTGAGAACTGAGATTAGGGTGATTCCTTCCCACCAGAGCTATAAAGAGTGAGGTAGTTTTCTCAGACAGTTGATGACAACTATACCCTAAACATCCTCTTCTCCCCAAGAATCCTAGCAATGATCTCACAGTCATCAGAGGGCTGGTCACTGGATGGCCTTTCCTTCAGTCTCTGCTCCATTTTTGTCCCTGCATTTCCTTAAGATAGGAACAATTCTGGGTCAAAAATTTTGAAGATGGGTGGGTGGCTCCATCCCTCCACTGGGGGCCCTGTCTAATTGCTAGAGTTGGTCTCTTCAGGTTCCATTTCCCCACTTTTGGGCCTTTCAGCTAAGGTCATTTACATCGAGTCCTGGGAGCCTCACATATCTCAGATCTCTTGGACTTTCTAGAGGTTCCCCTACCCCCACCCCACTCCTACCAGCTGCATATTTCCATTCATTCTCCTGGCCCTCTGGGCTTCTCTCCTGTCTTCCCCCCATACTTGATCCTGCCTCCCTTTTCCCCTCCATCTTCTCCTCCCTTCTCCCACCCAGGTCACTCCCTCCATCTGCCTCCTGTGATTATTTTGTTCCCCTTTCTTTTATTTTTTTTAAAGATTTGTTTATTTTATGTATATGAGTTCACTGTAGGTATCTTCAGACACACCAGAAGAGGGCATAGGATCCCATTACAGATGGATGTGAGCCACCATGTGGTTGCTGGGAATTTAACTCAGGACCTCTGGAAGAGCAGTTGGTGCTCTTAACCACTGAGCCATCTCTCCAGCCCTTGTTCCCCTTTCTAAGTGAGACTGACATATCCAACTTGGGCCTTCCTTCTTGTTAAACATCATAAGGTCAGTGAGTTGTATCGTGGGTATTGTGTACTTTTTGGCTAATATCCAGCAATCAATGAGTATATACCATCCATGTCCTTTGGGTTACCTCGCTCAGGATGATATTTTTTAGTTCCATCCATTTGCCTTCAAAATTCATGATGACCTCGTTTTTAATAGCTGAATAATATTCCATTGTGTTAATGAATCACATTTTCTTTGTCCATTCTTCAGTTCAGAGGCATCTGGGTTTTTTCCAGTTTCTGATTGTTACGAACATAGTGGAGCATGTGTCCTTGTGGTACATGCCCAGGAGTGGGTATAGCTGTGTCTTCAGGTAGAACTATTTTCAATTTTCTGAGGAACTGCCAGGTTGATTTCCAGAGTGGTTCTACCAGTTTGCAATCCACAAGCAATGGAAGAGTGTATCTCTTTCTTCACATTCTCACCAGCATGTGCTGTTAAGTTTTTGATCTTAGCCATTCTGATTAGTGTAAGGATAAATCTCGGGGTTGTACATCTTTTGAAAGCCTTGATTTAGTGTGTACTGTGCATGGAGAGTGTGAGCATGCCACAGCAGCGCTCTAGTGGAAGTAAGCGCCACCTTGTGGGAGATGGTTCTCTTTTTCTAGCTTAACATGGTTCTAGAGTTTTCAGACCATCAGGGATGCATAGCATGTGCCCTGAGCCAACTCAGCAGGCCTCGAGTTAATACTTCTTACAATTTGTTAGGAACATGAGCACAACTTCTGTTATTGTACTAAGTGACAACAGTAGAAAGTACGAACCTGGGTTCTAGGGACTGTCCTTAATCAAACAGCAAGCAAGACTTGTGACAAATAATACATCTGATTAATGTTCTAATCAGCTTTCTAATACTATGATAAAACACCATGATCAAATGCTACTTGGACAGGACAGTGTTTATGTGGGTTACAAGTTATAGTCAATCACTGAGGGAAGCCATGTCAGGAGACACAGAGAAGACATGTGCAAATGCCAATCTGGTGGAGCTAATTCTTCAACAGAGGTTTCCTCTCTTTCCAAGATGTCAAACTGACAGCCCACCGAACCATCTCACCAGCCCATCACTCCATTTTCATTTGAGAATGCCACTGGACTATGAAACACCAGTGAAGATGACACAAGTTCTTAGAGCTCTAATTCACCAACATGTCGTTCCTCTAATTTCTAAAACACTTGAAAGTAAAATACTTGACCAACCGTATTAGGTGCAATGAATGTCTGTAATAAAACGTCTACAACCAGCCCCCTCACAGGACATTATGAACCTTCCCAGAAGCCACAGATTGTCAAATAAAAAGCCCAACGGCAGAGGTTAGGTTCCTTCCCTTGAGTTGTTGGTCAGGAGTGTCCCAGAGGCACTCTCCTTCCCTAAAACCTTGACATTGGCTCTTAGCATTGCCCTTGGTTGCCCACTATAATGTTACTGCTGAGGGAGAAAAGCCATCAACACTTTTCATTACCTGTGAATGCTAAAAGCTACAATAATAACCAGCCGGAAACCTAAGTCCACAGATGCAATCGTATCATGAACGTTATAGGGGTAACATATTGTATGTATTCTAACTGAATTTAATGCCCCCTACATAAAGGGAAAATTATGTCTTGTCCTGTCAGTCTGACCTAGAGCTGGAAAGGTCTCAAGCTTCAGCAGTAAATCTACTGTAATTCTACTTAATGCTGACAATATGAACACCTATCTCTATGCTCATAGATACGTGCAGCATGGATCTTCATGAGAGATGTTTCCATGTGCAGTGGACAATTATGAATGCAGAAAATCACAGCTTGCCATTGTGAAGAGAAAAAGTGTCTATGGAATGTTTAGACCTCAGTAGAACATCTATACCACACCCCTAGCCCCCATTCTATTTCCCCAGGTTCAGGGAACATTGAACAGAAGGCAAAATAATTGTGGAAGCCAGTGCTTGGGCTGAAACAGTGTCTTCTGGATATGATAGGACTATATTCATAAAATAACAGCAATTGTGTTTTTCTGGGCCAGAGCAAGCAAGTCAAGATTCCAGCATCCATGGAGGATGGGCTCACAAGCCCCGCA